GTGAAAAGAAAATTGCCCCGCGGAAAAATTGAAGGTAACAAGAAAAAGAAGCCGTTCCACCGTCCAGAAAAACAGAGTTCACGAACACCCCCAGAATGAAGAAGGGAGAAGGACGACGTATGTGGAAGAGGACCAGGAGAAAGGACGGCAACTATAACCCGGCTTTAAAACGGAAGATCTGACTCATCCGACAGAACTCTCCGCAGCAAAAGTCGCCGAACTGCGGAAGGGCCATCAGCGGCGGAGGAAAAAGTACAAGAAAAATTTGAACGGCCAACAACGAGGTCCAAGCAGGATCACGACAGAAGTTTCCCGGTTCCGCCAAGACCAGCTGCCATTCAAACGGCCAAGACCACAAGCAGAGGAGAAAAGGAAGGTATTCAAGGGTGGCCGTAACTGGTGAAAAACGGAAGCTTCCAGAGGAAAGCACTGAAGGGCGAGCCCGTACAAGAAGGAGGATAAACCAAGCTACTATCTGCAGCACCTTTAAAGACTGGGCCCAGAAAAGGATGTCCGAATATTACAAAGATAAGTAAAATTTTATGTTACTTTGCAAACTTAAGTTAATCTTTCATTCTTACTGCAAGTGGCAGATTTCAAGAAGTTTTACCTCATGCGAGGTCTACCTTTATCGCCAAAAGGGCGAGAAATGAGTTGTGACCGATTTTCTTATTATGTTTTTCAATTACTCGCGCGTAAAACTAAAGTTGATGTATAATAGCGTTGTGTAAAAAACTTAAATATTGTAAAAAGTTATTGTATAAATTTTATTTAAAACATTCTAGCAAGAAAGAAGTTTTAGTCTGAAAGACTTTTTGAAATGTATTATTTCAATGTAGAAAGAATTGGCACTTGCTTTGAAAAGAATAGAAGTTAACAATGTACTACTAATGTATGTTTTCAAATGTGTAAAATTAACGGCATGTTGATATGTTCTGTTATTTTAAATGTTAAGAAATACCGTGATATGGTAAAAGTGAAAGTAATGTTAAAAAATTTGTTATTCGTGTGACTGTAAAAAGATTAAATCATGGCGAATATGTGTTAAAGGTTGAATGATGTAGTTAGGCTCTCTGACGCTACACTTTAGAGTTAGCCACTTTCAGAATAGTACCTCAGGGTTTAGAGTTGAAATTAGGGTGTGTTAAGAGGTCTCGTTATGTTGAATTTTAACACGTTAGTGTTTTGATTGTAGGAGGAAGTGTTGAACACGTAGACAGAAACACATTCGTGTTTGGTGTTTTTTTACAACACATGTCAGAGAGCACGGGGAGAGATAATTAAAATAGTCATGAATGAAATAAGAATGTTAAGAGAAAGTATATTCTATATGTTATTTGCAATGTCATTGTGTAACATTTCATTAAACTAGTTTTCCTTCCAGATCTCTGGAAGGAACCAGAATTGAATAAAAGCTCCTGTTTAGATGCAGTACAGATGAAAAAAAAAAGATTGTTGTATATCCTGGGAGCTGCTATTGTAACAAATTTCTTTCTTTTAAATTTTCTAGTTTCTAGCTAAGTTGTTTGTTTGTAAAAGGTTGGCCTCGCGTTAGATTCTAGAGCTAAAAGTTTTCAACAAGGTCGTTTTAGACCTCAGTTTCAAACTAATTAACTCTGGCGGGAAGTATGTAAGGATCTTAAGTTTTACTAACGTTTATTTTATTTTAAATCTTTACTATCACTTCTTATTTTCTACTTCCGGCCAGAATTATAAGCGTGAAGGTTTTTATGCAAAGTTTGTCTGGCGAACGCCAAGTATTTAAGTGTGGCCTTTTTGCCAAGCGAAGAGAGGAAGCAGCGAGTTCGAAGCAGGCCGCTTACCTTAGAAGTTACGCAGTTGCTATTTGCCTTCCAGGCCAGAGGTTTTAATCCTCTTGATAAATTAAACGTATTGTAGTGTTCACAGTCTCTGTGCTACATACGCTTCCTGTTATTATAAGGCCAATCTTCCACGTTTATTCTAAAGTTAAATTAGAGTTTAGTTTTATTTTTATACTTTTTACGTTAGACCCCGAGTGGAGGGTCATTGTATTCCGAAGTACGGAAGTCATTGTATATAGAGAAAAATAAAGGGTTTTGTATACCCTTCGTCTGTATCCTGTCTACTTACTACAATTAGTGAACATAGCTTTAGTAAGCTCTCTGTTCCTAGTCAGGTCCTTGTATGTTCCCGAAGAAGGTTAGAAGGAACATTGAACCTGATAGGCCCATAATTTAATAACTAGTCAATTATTAACCTGTCTTGAGGGAAGGATTGTCAGATTTATGCAAGCGAGGAGTTGGAGCTGCCATACGTAGCATTTGCCATATCGTCGTACGTTGGGACACTGCCCACGGCAGTTCTGATGCGATCTTTCAACTCAGGAATGGTGGCACAGCGTGTTTGGAAAACTTCTTGCTTCAGGTGGCCCCAAAGAAAAAGGTCTGCACATGAAAGATCAGGTAAACGAGGTGGCCAGGAAATGTCACCAAAACGGGAAATTACCTGGAAATGTCTGTCGCAATGGTCCATCCATCTGGAACTTTTCCATGACGTCCAACGTCAAAATTGAATATTCCGTCAACGTCAATATTGCCGAAATAGACCCTGGGTAGCAATAATAGAGTAGTTATTCTTGAAATAACTTTCAACAGCAAAGACACGATGCTGTGCACTCCACCGATCCATATAATTGTCACACTCGAAATGGCAGCTCATTAGTACACGAATGCAGCACAAGCTGGCGCTAATTCATGCAGTACGTCATTGTACTAACGCAAGTCAAATAACGCTATCACCGCTGCCGCACGCTGTACAATCTACACCTAACCCTAACAGGAGAAAGAGGTTGGGTGTACATGTTTCCGTCTTAACTAGCAAAATGGGGAAAAAATACGGAGTGAATTTTGATTTAAAGTAAGTCAATTGGTCTTTCTTAAAGCAGTTTTTACCTGTTAAAGCGCTTTTTACCGATCTGTATTCAAAAGTTTTATAAAGTGCTGTTTTAGTTTTTGACTAGTGTAGAATGTTTCTTATAGCAAAATAGTCTGAAACCATACGATGGGGCAAGTAGTAACATGTGTAAGAATTATGTTAATTTTATTAAAGTTAAATTTTGAGTTAAACGTCCTTTCCTATCGCTTCTTAAATTTCAACTTATCACTTCCGGACAGAACGTAGTTTTAGAATCACGTCTGAATGTAAGTTTAGATAGAGCGATATTTAAGTTTTACTGTCTTAGTCAGAGAGATACCAGAGATTCTGGCTAGCACGCGTCCACCTTAGTAGGCTACTCTCGCTTAAGCTATTTTTACGCTCGGCCGTACTTTAGACCCTTGATAGCTTCGCAGTCCATTAGCGTTAAGGGGCCAACTCCGTTAGAATCTTGATATCTTCGGCTATATCTTTTTTAGTTAAGATTCGTTAAGTTTTTCGTTAAGTTTCCTAAGTTGAAGCACGAATGTCGGCTTTATTGTACAACTCCATGAGTTCTGTTAAACTTAATTTGGAATAATTAAGGGTTATTTCACCCTTCTCACTTGTTGTGTTCTATCTCACGAACTCGAGGGATTATTCCCTTACTAGTTCATAAGATTCTTCAAATTCAACTGTAATTACACAATGGAGAATCCTACACATGTTATAATTTGCTCCGAGATTTTGATTCATGCATCGCCAACATACCGACAGGGTATTTAGAAGGTTTAAACAAACTTTTTTATTAAATCAGAACTGTAATATAAATGCACGTCTAGGGCTAACAAATCAGTGAGCCACTTGTGTGGAGGTAAGTTAAAATAACAGCGAAATTTAAGTAAGCCAGTAGACATAAGCTACAGAAATCAATTTAATACGAAACTGGCCCGCAAATCCAGCCAGCGTAGATATTCAAATATCGGCAATTATAAGCAATGCAGGAGACTACAAATCTTATCTGAGCTAGTAAAAACCTAGTAGCGTGGCCTCGAAGATTCAGAATACGCTCTGAATTTAAACTCCCGAAACCTTTCTTTAAATAATACTTTTTCTACTTTATTTTACAATTTTGGTATGGAAACGGAAACAAGAAGTGACAGTAAAGATCCAAAATATAAAATAACTGGTTACTGAAAAGCAGTAATAATAATAACCTTGTAATGCTAACATGCAAATTACTTTTTTTCCTACTTAGTTTTGTTTCCTAAAACATAAAAATTAATTTTTCATCCTCGAAGTTAATCTTTTGCGTAAAGATTCACCTTGGAATCTGTCCAACAGAGGCCGATGTAAAAGAAAACCCGTCATATTAACTGACACTCAAAAAAGAAGCATTGGAAAAGAATATGAAAAAATACTTAATAAGAAACGAAAAGGAAGAGGAAAGGTAAGGAAAGAGAAAAGGAAAGATTTAAGGAAAAAATCCAAAAAATAAACGAAAAAATAAAATGGACGAAGAAGAGGACATGGAACTCAAGATGCAGATTCTGGAACAGAAAAGTGGTTTTGTTTAACTTGCCAAGATGCTAACGACCACTCTGATTAAGAGTGGATGGAATGCTTAATTTGCAAAGCGTGGGCACACGTTGAATATGTGAGAAGAAAAATTCTATCATTTGTTTGTATTAACTGCAGTTTTAATGAAGACTGTCTTCATATTGATTCATTAAAAGTTTTATCTCTCTTTCACTATAACCAATTAATATTATGGCATGCAACTATATCAAGTAATAATTATCACGAAATATTTTTAAATATGGTCATTTTCATTGTTACTATTTGGGCTATGTCTGTTGCAATTTTCCGTAAGTCCGGGCAAATTATAACAGACAAATAGATTGGGTAACTATTTTTTGTGCTATAATCAACAAGAATGCCGAATGTTTGTTTTGAGAATATGATGAAGGGATAGCTGTAAAAAAATCAATTATATTCAAGGAACCTTAAACATATTTAAAAGTACAAACATTTCTCCAAATATTCCCACAAATGACCTTTGCCTCCTCTAATGCATAGAATAATTAACTGGAGTTAGAACTTACATTTCCATCAGCGAGAGCAGATATTACATTCCCCAAAGCTGATAGTGATTTGTTGATATTTTTAGCTTCATCTAAAACCATTCCTTCAGCTCCTGTTTTACTGACCTATACAGAAATAACACACTTGTTAATACATTTTATACATATTAATATTTAAAAAATTACATACAGTGTTACCTCAGAATACGTCCGATTTGAAATAGCTTCAACTAAGTATACGTTCTGTTTGAAAGTGAAAATGTTTGTTTGGAATACGACTCTTGCGCGCAATATATTTGTTTACTTCTTTCAAGACAATGCTACGACTACTCATGAAAGTCAGTACGCCTGTTGTTACTAGTGAACTATTATAAAATTTGACTCCCATTACAAAAATAACTCGACTGGAATATTTAACTTCAAAATTTGCTATTGTTTATGTGAATTTTAACTTGCCTTTAATCATCGGTTAATTAAGTTAGAATAATTAGAGTAAATAAGTCTGAAATTTTTTATACGTATTCAGGTAATTTTGTCCTTCTTTTTTTAATTTTTAAACGGATTTGTTTGTTTGCTTTCATAGGCTTTTGTTGCACGGGCTATGATTGATGAAACAATAACAGTGAAGAGCTTTAAGAAAATGGAGGTATTTAATTCCTATGGTATTTCTGAAGATAATTGTACATGGGAAGACAGACTAAATAGCGAAGAAGACAATGGCGGCGATTTGCAAGTTGTAGTAGAAGGTGACATAGATAGTAGTATTTACTGTTTTAGCAGTATCAAAGATTTGAGGCTTACGAAGTAGAAGTGAGCAACAATAACAGCGGGAGAAATTCATGATACAAGAAGTAAAAATGAAGATATTTCATTAAATATTTGGTAATGTTAATATTACTATTGATTCTTATTGAAATGTAGGTATTTGTAATGAATAACATTAATATAGTTACTGATAGTATATCCATGAGTACTTTTCACTTATAATGTTCGTACGGTAACCGCGTCCTTTAGAAATTAAATTACTCTCCCAATTTTCCCCCTTTCCATTTTCAAACAAAAAAATTAGTAAGAAAAGCGGGTAGTTATGTAGAATTTTACATTTTGTTGCAATAAAATTTACCATAATACCATAAATGTTTCATTTTTGTTGGATTTCTAGTATGATTACGTATTCATAAACACGATTATGCAAACGTAATGGTTAATCGGAAACATGAAATACAACTTACCTTTTCGCTACCAGCTAAATCCACTAAATATAATTTTCCACTAAGCTTTTTCTGGTTTTCCAGATTTTCCTGCTTAACATTGATGAGGAAAACACTATGACTTCTGGAACTGTGCTCATTCATATCTAAAATACAAAAAAAAAATTTTTAATGTATCGTTCCTTCAGCGTTATAACTTAATACTAAACTTTCCTTTATTAAAAATTATAAAATTAAAAAATATCTTAATTACATTTTGCTTTAATGTCATTTTCCAATGAAATGCACGCGAGTTTCATTGACTTTAATACGCATTTCTGACAAAATACACTGAAATGAGACTATAAAATGTAAAACATTGAGAAGCACTGCACAAATTAATGGAATATTTCTACCGAAGTACATATGGAACGTTATTGATGTGTTACAAGACTCTGATGACTAGTACATAAGGATCTTACTTTTTTTCAACATCCGATGGACCATTAAAAGAAAGACAAGAATAAAAAATAAAATGAATTCTTTACCAGAAGCTATGTACAAACATCGTTATTTTTGGACAAAATCACTGAGAAGATTCAGACATTTGTCATATAGCTGGAAGAGCGTTTCGAGATATGTGTCTTCATTGATGTGAGAGGGTCCTGAACGTTGTTTTGAAAATCCTCATTGATCTTAAATCTTTGGTCTTATAGCCGGTTCTTCAATTAAGGAGAGACATGAAAATCACTCGGCGCTAAGTCGGGCGAGGTGATCAAACATATCCCTCTTAAACTGCTCCAGAAGTTACTGGGTTGCAGCGTATTTTCCATTTATTGGTTTTTATCTCTTTCTTAACCTGAAGAACTGGTTGGGAGATCAAGGATTCTAGACCAGGATTCCTTATCCTTTTTATTCATTCTATAACTTTAATGGAATGGTGGGTACATTTATTCTTCAACGTAAATTTATAAGTTGACTTAGTAATCTACAGTGTGTTTTAAAAAAGAATAACCCGATTTGAAATGCATATATTATGAAAAATACGGAATAGAAGGTTAAGATTAATTTTATATAATATATAGATGACTAGAAAGGTTTTCTACAAATTAGAAATGCTTAATATGTCCACCTCTGGACGGCATGTGTCTCTTCAGTAGTCAAATTTGTCCCAAACTTTTGAAAGTATATACGCATCCACTGCTTCCACGACTGTTGCTAAGCATATAGTATTTCACTTTGGCTAATGTAGCTGGACGTGGAGGTACATGAACGGAGTCTTATAAACCTCCGCAAGAAGAAATCGCACACTGAGAGGTTCGGCGATCTTGAATCGTCAGATCCTGAACGGCCGATCCATCGTTGATAGAATATCCAAGCTACAGTGTGGTGGTACTCCCATCTTGTTCGAAAAGGAAGTCGTCCGAATCGATTATTAACTGAGGGAAAAGCTAGTTTTCAAGCATATCGAGATACGTGACTCTCGTAGGATTGGCCTTTATGAAAGAAAAGGGTCCATACAGTTTGTTTTCGAGAAAAAGCGCAAAAGCATGTATTTTGGCGTATCTTCTCTAATGCTTTGCAAATTGATGTGTCTGCTACATAACCCATATTCTAATACTGCGGCCGTTTACCTTTCTAGATGAAAAGTAGCCTCGTCACTAAACACAAAACAAGTTAAAATTTGTCATCTTGTGATACATTCTGAAGGTTGAATTGAAAGCTGAACACGTCGTTCTTTGTCACCTGTATGAAGAACTTGCAGTAATTGAATCTTCTATGGTTTGAAAAACACGCTAGACAGAAAAGCGAAGTTGCAGAAATGTGAAGTTTTTTACTGGCAAGGCGAGTGGATTTCTGTGACTACGATTTCTGTCTTCTGTAATTCTGTCGGATGCGATCCATATTTTTGTCTGACACATAGCGTCGGGCAGGGGATTTCCTTTTTACACAGTCGACCCGTGTCTTATTTTTTATACAATCGTGTATTATATCGTATTATGTACCGTGAATGTTTTATAAAATCGCGTAATGCTGAGCGGTTAGGTTGTTGAACACATGGCACTGTTGACGGAAATCATGCTAAACAGTTGCTTCAGACTCACACTTCGCAGAACAAAGATACAAAACGATTTCTACTGCTCAATCCTACACAAACACTGAAGTGGCGGACGAAAGAATATCATTAGCGCTACCTGTCGCCAACTGCATAGAACTCGAGATTTCCCTCTTCCTGCCTATACATTGTTTGATCAAAAGGTAAATAGTTACGATTTTTTTTAAATTGGATGATTCTTTTTTAAATACACGGTACATAATGTGCAAAAAGAACTTATTCTAAGATTATAATTTTAAGATATAAAAATCATTGATTTTAATGTAAAATAAATAATTACTAAAAACACAGGCAAAAGTTGACAAATTATTTGTTTTATAATTCATTGGTATAAAACTTCTTTGTAAAAATGTAACTGTAAAGTCGATGTGATATTTGGCACTAGGCCATTGCTTCATAATTTGGACAGTATGATGATATTCCTTTTCGTAAGCAATTAAAAAAGATGTCAACTGTAAGTCAATATCTGTACTTTGTGATATTTATGGTAAACAACGATGATATTGACATTTTTTTTAAATATGACTCAAATAACCGGGACAATACGGCAAATTAGAGACACCGGAAACATAATCTTCAAACTGGGATAATCCCGAAATCAGGACTCCTGGTTAAGTTTATTTAAAATTATAAACAAAAATATTTTTAAAACAAATACGCTGATATTCCTCTAATTAACTGGTAACTATAAAGTTTTATAATAACATTTTATTGAAAAAGGTGAATTATTTTTTTATTATAGCGGGCATGCATAAAGTTCTTGGCACTGTCGGTCATACGGCCTGAGACTCTGTTTCTACACCAATCAGGATTTTCAAAATAACATTCAGACCATCTCACTTCATTGACGACAGCGTTCTTCAAAGACAGTATAAAGTTCTAGTTAATTTGCGTGTACTTGGCTATTAGAAATTTAAGGGAGTGTATAGTGATTATTCGCTAGTCTCCTTATAACTGTAAAATATAAGTTCAAAGAAGAGTTAAAATACTCTTTTATTCACTCGAAGATTGATAAAAGTCGACCCCCTTCTCGGGCTTACTGGAAAGCCTCCACTTGGGCTAAACGTAAGATAAAAAATAGGAAATTTAAAAAATAAACTAAAGTAATCCTACTTAGCTAAACTTTAGCCGAAGCTGTATAAAATTAACTAACAGAGTTGGCTCCGTAATTATACCTCACCGGCGATTTCTAACAGGCATGTAAAACCACGGCCGTACGAAATTAGATTGGCTTAAAGTAACGACGTGGCTCGAAGGCAGAACCCGCTCTACTAAGAACTTTTGAACTCTTCTTACAGAAGTAACTTACAGAAGAACTCTTCTTACAGAAGATTGAATACTTTCCCATTAAAAAATCGTCTTTACTTAAATTACATGAAATACGATGCTAAATCTCATTCTCGCAGAGAGTTGCGGGTGTAAAACAAGAATTTGAAAGAAAGGGTTTCAAAATTAAAAATAACTATTAGAAAATTAAAATAATTCGTATAACAGTGTAGGAACGCTCGTCCACTGACATGACAAATGCCTGTTTTCATGGCGATTTTGTCGAAAAGTAACCACCTTTGCACATAACTTCTCGACATAAAGTAATTTTGTTGTTTACTCCTGTCTTCTTTTTCACCATTAATCGGATGTTTGTAGGGGAAAAAAAATCTTTGCACTTTATCGCTTTTGACTCAAACCTACTTCCGTCTACGTCTACCTCCTCACGCTACACCGTGGTAACGCTTGTCTTTGAAGACATTCTGTAGAAGCCCAATCCTCTTAAATTCCATTAAGACTGCTTCGATTCTATTTTAAATAAAAATTATTCAAAACTGAACTCTGAATAATTCTGGAAACTAGAAACAACTTCAAGATATTCCCACCAATTGGTTGTCTGTCGATACAAAATCTGATATGGACACTACATGACTTCTTTGTATGGCCTCCCTAAATTATACGCACTTTTTGCTGCGTTTTTGCTCAATTTTTTTCCTAGAATTATTATAATTTAATTAACCCATCACCGAAGGCAATTTGAAACTGACACTAAAAATTGCGAATTTTGGAATTAAACATATGTATTAAGTCAGCGATTATTACTTTTTATTTATACGTTTACACATATCCGTATTTTATTTTACTTTTAGACAGTAATTAACGAGTAAACCCGTGTTAAAGAGGTAATTTTTATAATGGTTATTATAAATTCATTTACTTTCATTAAAAAAATCATAAATTAAAATTTAATAATACACTTTAAGAAGCAGGATACGAATGTTTGCACGGATTCGAAGGCTTTTCAAGTGACGAATCACATTAGAAAATTGAGGGGAAGTAAATAAATTAATTATTTTTACAAATCATGTTAATCTATTTTAAATTTAAGTATTCTTTTAATAAATGGGTCTGTTTCTAAGTTACTAAATAAGTTTTAATCTATATTCAGGAAAAAAACGTTATTAGGTTGTAGAGACATTAGGCTATTTTGAAGCATGAGAGATGATAAGTGAGCAATGTCCTCGCTGGGACTCGAACCACGGACCTCTCGAATACACGCCGAGTGTGCTGATCACTAAACCACGAAGGCATACTAAGAAGGTAGAAGAAATACCTTATAAGGTATTCAAATTTCATCAGAGATTCTGCTCTCCCAATTCGCAATCAAATCATTATTTTGATCGATTCGACATTCATTATGAAATTCAATTCAGAACTGTTAATTTATTTAGCATAAAGCATAGATAGTCTTATCTACGATGAAGAATCAATTTTAACTGTAATTCCAACATTCACCACGAAAACAATATTACGATGCCCGTTTTAGCATATGATTTTTATATGTTCAAGCACAAGAAGAAAATAGGAAATTAGTTATGTTTAGCATTATGATAAGTTAGATTATTTGAATACGATAAAACACGCGAAAGCTATATGCCTAAAAACAAAGGACGCCTTCGCGGAGAGCTTTCTAACAGAAATAGTCTCATAATCAGGTTACACATGGAAAAGTCCACGAAAACCAACCATGCAGCCAGGCCGTTCGCTTGGATACTTACTACCAGTATTTAACTGTTTTAACCACTCGACCATTGTGAGGCGATTAGCACCAGGCCTTGAATTCATTCGGTGCTTGAATCCGAGACTTTTTAGATATTGACCGAAAACACAACTCACGCGGGAACTCCATATAACAATTTAAGAAATACATATTTCTCCGCATGTACTTTCGTAGTATTAAGTGGTTAACATTCCCAACTACAGTGTGTTATTTTAGAATAACTACTTCAAGAACATTTTGCCTTCTGGCTTCTCTTATAACCATGGTAATCACTGATGCTGAAGAAAGTCAAGTTTTCTCATTTGCTGAAATCTCCTAATTGCCACTGTGCGCAGATGATGACGCACGTTGTGCTCATAAATGAAAGGAAGAGTCAGTAGGACCTTGAAGTGCCTGTTCTGAAGTAACTATAGCAACGTTCACGAATATTTCAGGTAACAAAAAGATACGTGGTTCAAATTTCGGCGGCAGCGCATTTTATTTCTAATGCTTTATGTTCGAAAAATTTAATAATCTCCATAGGATGAGTTTCGACACTTTTTTTTAAATACATAAATTCGAATACTACTAGAAAATTCTACTGTTAGTGCGACATTTTTAGCATTTAACAAAATCATTATATTTATTTAATAAATATGGCATTGTCTAACATTTGTTAAAATTAATTAAAAATTGGTATTAGTTACTGAACGTATGCTTTACGTTGCTTGCGAAGAATAAAATATGTAAAAAAACTCGCATAGGTGCGGAAGAGAGACTCATTGTCAAAATATAAGAAGAGGTATACTGATGATCTGTACACAACCAGATCAGAAAAGCTTTGAATAGATTTGAAGCCATTATACTAACCAGCCAATAAGGATGCTTCACAAAATACTTATTGTTGCTTTCTACAGGTTCGTGGATTTGGAGTAATTGATGATAACTCATGATAAAGAATCAAAATACAATTTATTCGCCACAATTTATTCACAGTTATAGCCTTCCGGCAAACACAAAAGTACAGATCTCGACTTAGTCGATCATTCCCAAGCTGATCTCTGGACTCTAGACACTACGTTCTCCCAGGACAGGTTGTATATATATATATAGCTTTAACCTATCTTCGAGAATATTCTGGCTCCGTTTATAACATATCGCCAATTTTGTCACCATGTTTCGCCAAATGAGCGATTTTGAGCCAAATCTGGCAACCTGCCTTTCCCAACCATTTTCTTGCAACCCTAAGCGTCCTTCGCGGGGAAACTATCTTACCACGTAGCCGCTGGTCATTTCGCATTTTCTTGCAACCCTAAGCGTCCTTCGCGGGGAAACTATCTTACCACGTAGCCGCTGGTCATTTCGCAACAATATCTTTCTTTTATCCTTCTGGGAATGCACTTTGTTCCCTCCTTCAGTCAGTTATTGCACTGGAACTACTTTTCATTTAAACGAGTGGTTTTAGAGCATCGTCTTTGTTAATTTTAAGACTAATGTCAAGTAAAAGTCAGTACAATAAGCAAAGAATTAAAGAAATTATTGTTGCATGCAGGTCAAACTTCGTTCAACGCTTAAATTAACATAAAATTGCCAAAATTAAAAAATATATATCATTGACTGCAACTTCAATCTAGTGATATAATTTAATAAGCTTTTAAGCCTTCGCACAGACAAGAGTAATCATCATTTAACCAAGTCGCCAAGAATTTAGCCCTAAAATCCTAAAGTCCCTAATATGCTCATCAGTAAGTGATATTTTTCTTAATTATAATTCCAAAAATATGCTTCCACTTTGTACCTTGACGCCTACTGCTATAATTTTATAAACACATTTCAAGATAAAATATATGCATATGTGTGTACTAAAAGCAGTTATATATGACTAGTAGCTTCTGAATGTACAGATAACAAAGATGTAAGTGAAAACACTAACTTTAATTGACAATAGCCCCTTAACTATCTATTTTAATTTGGTTATTTCAGTTTTTCAACTTAAAATAGTAACTGCTTAAAATAAATCACCCTAAACTGCGTCATTTTGAAATTCATCTATATCATACGATTCTACCATAACGCTTGTGACTCAGATGCTAATATAATGCTTCATTCAATAATGATTTCAAGTTTAGAAACTGAAATTTAAAGATAATGAATCAAAGCTAAACTGAAACTAAATCATTCTGCAACAAACTTTCATCTTGAAAGAGTCATTCTCTCTCCTCTTCTTTCTCTACCTAAATCGCTGTTGCTGCTTTTATTAGAGCAAAATCTTAAAAAATATAAAGTTCTTAAGGCACAGGGGCCCGTTTTCCGCCAAGTTCTTAGCACCTACATATATTAAGAATAAAATACATGTTCAAGCGGCCTCACTGACTGCTACTGTCTTTAATGAGTATACATGTCATCATATACAAATTATTTCAAACATATACGGCTTGAATAATTGGTTTTATTTGCTCCTTTCTTATTTATGGTATTTTCAAAGATCCTTTTTTTTCTAACGAAAACCGAATAGTATGATGATAATTTATATTCTGCTACCAAAATTGTAATTTTGCAGAAAATGAGGATAAAATAGATCCATAAATTTTCTACATTGTTCAAAACCAAAACTATTTCTACAAATTTTTGTATTTTATTACATTTATTAATTATATAAATATTATAAATCTTCAGAACACATTTCTATCAAATTTTCGAAGGAAGACTTCCTTCATTGAAATTTTCAGCAAGAAGATAGATTCAGTACATAACGATAAGATTAAGTAAAGATTTTAGTCAATTTTTTTTAAAAAGCTCACTATTTTAAAATAGCTTGAGTTCGTACAAATGTGTTACGCTTATTAATTTATATTATTCTAATTTTATTAAATCTCCGTGGTATGAAAATATAAGAAACAATTTTAAGTATACGGTATTTTCTACCTCTTTCCAGCATGAAACAGTGGTTTGTCACCGCCGGGATTTGGCTGCTGGGTCCTCTATTCCCCAGTCATCCTTATTTTCTCCCTTCTTGCAGCATGCCTTCGTGGTGTAACGGTAGCACATTCGGCGCGTATTCGAGAGCTCCAGGTTCGTGTCCCGGCGGGAGCACTGCACACTTTTCACAGCTTCTGCTTCAAAGTAACCTAATGTCACTGCAAGTGAACCTCGAAATTCTAAAATTTTTAAACGCAAATTTCCTGCTTAAAATGCTTTAGTTGATATGTTGAATAACTATAAGATTCATTCTTAGATTAGGCTACGTATTTCGAGCTCTATGCGTATGAAGATACTCTGACACAGGTTTATCATTTTTAAAAAGAAAAACAATTTTGTGACAGAATGCTTAATTTCATTCCGAAACATAAAACAAAAGTAATTATAGGGGAAAAGCAGCGCATGTGACTCCATATATTGTTCGAAATAGAAACGTGAAGAAAAGAAGCCTTCCTCCTTCCTCCCCCCCCACCCGGAAAAAAGTATAGTAAGTGGCATTAAATGTGACCACGATTGTCGAAGGCAATTTTGAAGATATCAATAAACGGAGAACTGGAAGACAGCATGCAAATATAAAATTTAAAATAGGTAAAAGGTATCTTAGTTTGTCGTAGATGCTTTCAAGCGATTTTTTTCTCTTCAAGGAATAAAGATAAAAGTCTTGCAGAATATTTTTCCTTCTGAAGAAAGACTTGTGTCTGAGCACCCTCAAAATCGATACAGTTATCCGAAACCTATGTAAAACTAAAGTTGTTTCTTTGCCTAGTTTTCAATAGTTGACTGAAATTGAAATCAAGCTTTCTGGCGAATTAACACCTCACTTAAAACTATTTCTCAGTCACTCCGCAAATCTTAGATGTATTTTACCTTATTTGACGAAAGCTTTATTTGGCGACTTATTCTTTAAAAAAATTGGTGTATGATATTTTGACCATATTAACCCTTTCCGGCACGCTACCTTTTAAAGTCGGAGTTTTCTGTGGGTGGGCCCAAAGTGGCATACTGATTGAATAAAGCTTCGAAAAGAGTGCTGAAACAAGCATTGTTGTCAATGAACTGGCAGACGAGATGCGGAGAAACAAAGAATACAGACTCTCAGTTGTCCTATATTATCGGGGATCAAGGTCTGGGCACACCTAGGGTTCGCCGTTCGATTTTAGGCAAGATTTCAAGGTAAAAATTTAAAACTACTATAGAATTAGGAGATTAGCATACAGCCAAAAACATGACATAGGAATTTTTTTTCAGAATTCCTTTTATACCCTAAAAAAAATCTGGAAAATTTCTTTGAAAAATGAGGGTCTTAAAAAACTAAACACGGCTAAAATATATGGGATGGTTGAGCTGCCATTCTTAAATAAAGAAGGTTCAGAGAACCTATAGTAACCTATAATCCTTTTTCATTCAATTTTCCTGTGCGTACAGAAGGAAATTTTTAGGTGTGTCCAGACCGGACACACTGTGCCGCAAAGGGTTAACCGAATTGGCTAGTTACAATAAGCGATGTATTTTCCATAAAAGGTTTTTTAAATTCTAAATTCAAGTAATTAAATTTGGCACAGCAGCATAGAATATTTTTGTTCTGAAAGAGAAATTTCTGTCAGGCATTTTTTTATAAATCTGCGATAAATATTAATTTAAATTTAAGTTTTAACTTCGGTTAAACTTAGAGTGCTTACGTTACATCTATAAGAAAAATAAAATTAACCGAAAATTTTAAACTGCGAAGAAATAACAGTAAAATCTGAAATGAGTGTATGGTATATAGATAGTAATAATAAAATCCATCCAATTTTTACTTCAAAACGAAATATATATTAAACATGCATATTTATATAAATATATAAAGACATGCATTATCTACGTATTGCAAACTCTAAAACTGTAAGTTCAATAATTTTCAACGAAAACATACTTGTAACTGCAATATGCCTGTTAGCTTTTCCTTCGTCTATAACTTCCATGACTTCTTCGGGGCTGGTTACGAACCTCTCTGTCGCTCCCTATTCAAAACAAAAGGTGATTAATTTTATTTATTTAAGAAAACAAATGCAAAACTCTTCGTGTTCCAGAAGATAATCCATGTATGTAAACAACTTAATAACAGAAAGGAGATATAATACTGTTACGAATTTTGTATTTATCTCTACATATAATAAAAGAAACAGTCTGTCTGTCTGTGTGTGTGTCTTTCGTTTGTATTATGCGTAAGCTAATAGACCCACGGCATTTGGTACATAGGTGCATCTAGACAAGTGCCAGTGCACCTCGAAGCGATTTTTTCGAAATTCGAATTCGAATTTTTTTTATTTTATGTTTTATGACGAAATCGCGTCATTTTGAGACATAATGGGCTATAGGAAAGCGAGATTTTACTCTACACACATCGTCATGAAACGTAGGCACTTAGCTATTTTACGAACTTAAAATAAATTTCGTATATCAATAAATCGATTCAATATGAATTTATTTAACAAAGGGAGCTTAACACCTTTTCAATGGGATTTTTTTCTGAAAAGTTATTTTTAAAAAATGTACGTTTAATTTTCTTGATTTTGGACGCGTTTTTTTAATTGGCCTTTTTTTTTTTGTTGTGTTTTTTTTTTTTTTTTTTTTTTTTTCTTTTTTTTTTTTTTTTTTTTTTTTTTTTTTTTTTTTTTTTTTTTTTTTTTTTTTTTTTTTTTTTTTGTTTTTTTTTTTTTTTTTTTTTTTTCTTTTTTTTTTTTTTTTTTTTTTTTTTTTTTTTTTTTTTTTTTTTTTTTTTTTTTTTTTTTTTTTTTTTTTTTTTTTTTTTTTTTTTTTTATTTTTTTTTTTTTTTTTTTTTTTTTTTTTTTTTTTTGTTTTTTTTTTTTTTTTTTTTTTTTTTTTTTTTTTTTTTGGGGGGGTGTTTTTGATCCTTTTTTTTTTGACAAAAAAGGAATTTTGGAAAATGATAATTTTTTGTATTTTTAAGATTTTTTAAATGCGCTTCCGAGTTCCTTTCTCCCATCTCCAGCTTTAAAAAGTATTGGCAACAATTTTCCTGTCTTATTGTGTTGATAGATTTTTTGATGAAATCGCATCATTTTGAAGAGTTTCATTCTTTTAGAAATATGGGTTTGGCAAACAATTTTCATCGTACTTCTTATGTCACTGTTTTTAAGAGATTGGCATATTCATTGTTTTTATATACATATAATACATTTTTATTGATTTTTTTTTTTTGATAAAGTTGTTCTGCAGAGTAAAGTTCTGCGCGGAATTTTATATTTTTTGAGTTGCTTTCATATTATTTTTGCTTATTCCACTGTTTGTAAGATACTAAAAAATTTTGCATGACTTTTGTTCTTCAACGGAAAGTTAATTTTTTTTATTAGGATAATTAATATTTGCATTAAGGGATATAGCTTATTTCATTGTAATTTTTTCTCTTGAAAGTTAAGATAAATATCATTAATTATACTTTGCTTTTCAGAATTTTTGTTTTTTGCATTCTTTTATGTTATTTATTGCTCATTTCACACTGTTTTTAAGATATTGAAAGTTTTGGCTGATTTTTTTAGGAAACAAAGTTTCTCTTGGACACTGGACGTTTATATTTGAGGTTCTTAAAATTTTGGCAAAGGGAAGTTCGGTTAATTTATTTAGTTAGGATAATTAATATTTGTATTAAAGGGATATTGCTTATTTCATTGAAATTTTGTTATATGTAATACATTTTTTTCTTCTTTTTAATGAAGTTATTCTGTAAGAGTAAAATTCTACGCAGTTTTTAAATTTAACGTCTAGTGTTCCCTTCAGCCATTTTTCCGGTACATTTAAAAGCCAGACGAAGCCTGGCAGCGAAGCTGGTAGTATGTAAATAATTTTAGTGAAATTGTAGTATCTCTTATATAATGTAATATAATGTAACATGAAATGCATAGAGACGAAGCTCCGCCGGAAAAATAAGATTACAAGGGCAGGTCCATTTACATTGAGATAAATAGCTAATGGCGAGGTAGCTTCAAGCTGGCGATGGTTTTGGCGACTATTTTTTGTCTCCAAATTTGGAGAAAAATAGTCCAAAGTCGCCAAACTTGACGACTATTTGGCGACATTTTGGCCCGATCTCTGTATAATTGTAATGTTCTGATCCCTATATGTAACTGTAACCATATCCCGCCATTTATTACTAGGACTATGCATGCCCTAGAGCACTTTCGAGAAATCGAAGGAACTGGAATTTCTTGGCGGTCAAGGCAAAACCATGTAAGATAGGAGAAAACATCAGTTCTTAGTTCAGAGTTGATTTCGGAGTATTGAAATTCTCTCCGTGCGAGTTTCGCTCTTCACTTGCGCTTTGCATTGCGTTCTCTTAAACTTTCTTCTTAATTTGAAGTGGTAACTACTGATTGTGCTCTATCATACTGACAAGAGTTGTACCAATAACTTTTGTGAATAGTTCCAGAAACGTAAGGTGTTTCTTTTGGGAAAATAAATTATCAAGCTATCATCGGTTCTGTGTGCAATTTCTCTTCTGCGTGTTGCTATCATCAGTGTGTGCCTTTCAGTCCATTACTAACCAGTACGTACGCAGCTATACAATAATAATACATCATATTGTTATATATATATATATACGCGTTCCTAATTGAATGAATACATTCAGAACCAATGATAGTTTCAAGAAATTTTTTTTCCATGAATAATTTACAGTTCTGGAACTTTTCGCAAATAATGTACTAGTACAACTCTTCACAATAAGACAGAGCATCAGTAGTTATCACTTCAAGGTACTAAGAAAGTTAAACACAAAGCAATAGAAAAAGTCTCCAAATGCATAAGCTCGCTCAGTGATTCCTCAATACTCTCAGTACACGGAGCAAAACGCTGAACTGAACTTAACTGCAAACTGATGCTCTCTCAAGTCTTATATACAGGGTGCGTCAGAAAAATGTATACACACTTTGAACTACCATAGAAAATTTATTTTCCAACCTACAAAGTTAAATTTCTAGAACAAGTAAGGCTATAGTCCAATTTGAAAAATAAGCGTATTTTCTGAACAAACAAAATGTTCTAAATAGTGTTTAAAATAAATGTTCAAAATGGTGGCCTTCATCTATACATTTCTGAGTACGAATCACAACTGATTCCATACCTCGCACTAAAAATAGGATTTCTACGCACACTGTTTGAATCTGATCCCAAAACGTGTCAAAGTGACGTAGTTTACGACAGTACACCTCATTTTTTACTGTGATCCATAAGAAACAATAGATGGCGTAAGGTCTGAGAGGGAAAGCGCAGGAAACTCAATTGATCCCCTGCGTCCTATCCACTGGTCTGTTACATTATCATTCATCCCTAGCACTTGCACCCCATTCATGTGATCCTTGGCTTGAAGATTTTTGTAGTGATCATTGAAACAGTCCTAGCTATAAAAATGAAGATTCATCACATGTAGCTGAGCGAGGATTCTCTGTTCGGCCTTTCTGCTCATCACACAATGTTCCATGAACCTAGAATTTTTCTCGTAGACGTGTAATTGTTAACCCTGAAGGTGGATCAATCCAATACTCAACATCTACACTGTCTCTAAACCCACAACAACATTCTCAGACTTTCAGATTTTTCCGCTCTTGGAAGTTCAAACATTCATCCGCCATGTCAATGTTAATTTGTTGGCATTAACCGGGTTGCACAGCTAGACCGACGACTCTGCTGTCACATGCTAAGGAAATATAATATTACTTTATTTTATAAACTTAACATTGTACGTATGATAATAAATTCTATATTACAGTTCAAAGTGTATATATATTTTTCTGACGCACCCTTTACTTTTATCTGTCCACCGAGAAACTTCCAGTACCTTCGATTTCTCGCAATTACTGGAAGGCATTATACAATTACAGCTACATAAGGCGGAATACAGATACAGTTACATAGGGTAGGATACAGCTGAAGTTACATGGGGATCGCACCAGTTACAGTTACACAGGAATCGGACCAAAATGTCGCCTAATGGTAGCCAAGTTTGAGAAATTTTTGGCGATTTCTCGCTAAAATTAGCGATTATTTGCCAAAACCATCGTCAACTTGGCGCTTTGTTAGAATGTGTAACATGTTTAAATGAAGTATACTGTGTCTCGTTTTTTAGAATAAGTTGATAAATTACAATCAATGCGTAATTTAAAAACAAAACTTTGATCCCGATTTGTTACCTGATGACGACGTTTGAACTATTTAATATCTCTCTCTGAACATAAATGTTTTATTTGTACAATCTTTATGTATGATTATCGCTATATTATGTACACCCCGTGACTATATCAATATGACGCCTTGTATGTCCATGTAGTTTATCGTTAGACTCAGTAAATTGTCTAATGGGGGAATTCCGAAACAGTAAGAACTTCTCTATAAAGGTTAGGCAGTGATCACCTTTGATGGTGTTTAAGTTTGGCGCTATCTCGCCAAAAACATTTACTTCGATGTAAAGTGTACCTTGCAACCCTGTTTTTTCGGCGGTGCTTTGCACTCAGAGGTCTTTCATGTTTCATTATAAAAGAGATACTAAAATTTACATAAAATTTCATTAAAATTATTTACATGCATACATAATTCGTAACAATATCTATATCTGGAAAGGACAAAGAATATTATTATGTATAATAACGCAAATAAATACTTTAATAAGAAGATAAAATATAATACTGTAAGTAATAATACTATAATCTAAGGAATATATATAATAATAACAGCCATAAAAATAACACTTAAAAATGTAATAATAATAGAAAGGAGATATGTATATAATATAATAATGTATAGATAAAACAGTAGATAAAAAAAGAATAATACAATATTTCTTAAAAGTTTGGTTTATTAGATTACGGCAAAGCACTCGAGGGCTATCTCGCCTTAAAGGAAGGATGCCTTCGTGGAGGATTTTTAAAGGGAAACTGGCTCGTATACACGTTATACATGGGGAAAGCCCATGCAGCCAGCTCGTTCGCGGGATTCGAACCTCGGACC